CTTTAGAGTCACTAGAGATACTTTGCATGGCAGAAGTTTCGGATAATTTTACTATCTGTTCTTCAAGTAATCTGTTTTTCTCGAGGGCATCAAGTATTTTCTTTTGACTAGCTCGGAGCTCTACTAGTTCTGCATTTTTGGCGGATACCGAATCGTTAACAATGTTCTCTTCATTCGGAATGCAATCATGCCATTCTTCATTTCTTTTATTATTTCTTTTTTAAAGTTACTTTTGAAGAGCTGTTCTTTGAAGAGCTTAAAGTATCCTTTGATACGATTTCTTTAGTAGGAGTATAAATTTTTTTTTGACATTTATAGACTTTTAATTAAATTTAACAATTAGTTATATTTTTAAAAAATTTTATAATGTTTATAACATTTATGTGTATACAATATATGAATATGTGTATGTATGTGTACAATTTATGTATATTTATATACATGTATGTAAGTATATATAGTTTATAAATATGCGTATATACATTGTATGTATATGTAAATATGTATATTATATATTTATATATAATATATGTGTATAAGTATATAGTTTATAAATATGTATATGTATACAATTTATAAATACATTATATGTATATATACATTATATGTATATGTTTACAATTTATAAACATGTTGTTGTGATTATAACACTTTTATTATTATTTATTTTTTTTACAATTATATTTATCATATGATTTATTATTTTATATATATCCAATCTTTTTTATAATAACCTGAATATCCGATTTTTTCTATAATAACCTGTATATCCAATCTTTTTATATATTTTTCCTGCATTCGATTTTTTATTTATTTATTTTGATATTATTACAAATTATATGTGTGTATGGTTGAAATAAAAAAAAAAGTGTAAAAGAGTGGGTGATCTTCTATTTGGAAAACATATAAACAACCAAAACAAACAAACAAATAATAAATAATAAAATACCTTTTATTTCGACTTTTGCAAAAAAAAAAATTATATAAAAAAAAAAAAATTTATTTCGACTTTTGAAAAAAAAAAAATTATTTTTTATATATTTTTTAGTTTTTTTTGGCTCCTTGATAATTTTTAAAAAAAATTATAAAAATTAAAAAAAATTAAAATAAAAATTTCTTTTAACCGAAATTTTTATGAAACACGTTGCAAGAAGCCATTGTATTACTTTTTATGGGAAAAGCTTTATAGGCTAAAAAACCCAATTATATATATATATTTATATATTAATTATTAATATGTGAGTGTCTAACAGTATATTTGTATATTATATATTTATATAATATATGTATATCTATATACAGTTTATAATAACCTGTATATCCAATCTTTTTTTATAATTTTCTTGCATTCGATTTTTTATTTATTTATTTTGATATTATTACAAATTAATAATTTGAAATTATATGTGTGTATGGTTGAAATAAAAAAAAAAGTGTATAATTAAATTTAATCTAAAAGTCCACTTTAAGGAAAGTATAATAACTATATTTTTTTATTTTAATATTCATTCTTAAGAAACTATCATTGTTCAATTTAATTATTCAAATTATATTTTTATATTAATTATAAAATAAATTAATCAAAAATTAAATAAAAAATAAATAAAAAAGAATTTTGGAGTAAAAATTATATTTTTATTAAACAATAATAAACCAAAAAGAATAGAAAATAGAACTATTTGATTTAAAAACCATTGTTAAAAATAATATATAAATTAGAACATATGAAGTAGAACTTTTCAATAAACCTCAATGCATAAACAAAAGGAACAATCTAAAGGATAAAATAAAATAAAAATTATAAAGGATAAAATAAAATAAAAAAATTCGATTCGAAAAAAAATATTGTTTTAAAAAAAATTTAATTGTTTATTTATTTATGTACATTATTAAGTATTGTTGTTTTATTAATTATTTATTTTTAAATTCATTTAAAAATTTTAAATAAAATTTATATAAGAAGCAGGTTTGAATGGTTTCTGGAGACATACTACCTCTATCTGGAGTAACAAGATCTGGACAATTTGAAAATGATCTTTCCAAAAAAATTGATGTTGGATCAATACAAAAAATATCACATGCCATTCTTGATAAAACTGGATATTGATTTTGACAGGAACGCCAAAATTTAAG